CAATGATATTGCACAATGAGAAAATGCTGCCCAGCTGTCCAAAATATGACGGAAAAAAAATACCATTAATTTTCAGATACCCAGATGAAATCAGGGGTGACCTTAACCATCTTGTGATGCCCTTGAAGATAAGATGTTAAAACAATTGAAGACTTCTATATGTGTATAAATACTGATTTTTTAAAACAATTAAAGAAAACAAAACATTGCCTTTTAGTGATTCAGACTATTGAGCTAAGACTTTGGGCCTGGATGTTTTTGCAGGATCACCTTCTTCAATAATTTCTGCCTTTTGTATAAGATCAGACAGGATTAACATACTATGAGTCCTGTCAACAAAACAATGACAACTTATGGAAGCCCATGGATATATGTTACCTATTACTGTATCAGCCATCTGCAACCTTATATCCAGTCCAATCCAAACCAAAGTCTGTATTGCCCTGAGTCTGCTGTTATTTAGGAAGGCCTTAAAAACCCAGGTGATTTGGCAGGAATTGGGCCAAGACAGTTTGTGGCCCCATTGGAATGTTAGCAAATTGTTGTGTTTCTCATCCCTTTGAATAGTTGTTTTATCATTTCTTTTTCTTTGCTATTATGGTGTTTTCAGTCCTAGTTGTATACTGCCTTGAATCTTTGAACTGCCTTAAATAAATCATTTTGCAACTGGGTAGTCTTAGAAATTGAATTAATAATTAAAATAAATCCATATATCCAAGCAACGTTAACACTGATTGTTAACAGCTTGTGTAAGCTTCAGGCCAGAGTTTTTGCAGTCCAGTCTAGAGATGCCCAGGTATGTTTGACATGCTGGTCAAAAGCCCTTTATTGCCTTGATGGGTGTGCAGATCTTGGATTGAAGCACGGCTTTTTAGCATCAGTTTAACTCTAAAGTAAATAGGATTTTTCTCTCTCTGCTGGTCAAGGCATGAGTAAGTGGAGTGAATGCTCACAAAAGATTCAGATTGAAATGGCTGGATGTGATTGCTTCTTTCTTACATTCCATTACCCCAATCCTGAGCACTGAGATATTTATTGCAACTCTTTGCAAGATTGTAATCAGTTTACAACAGTGTGTGTAAAGGAGACACTTGAATATCCTCTAGACAAACAAATCCATTGTTTGAATTAGTGCTTCCCTACGACCTTTGCACATTTGAGTAGTTTCTTGTTAATCTTCGGAGTGGGTCAGAAAACAGAATAATTTGGAAAATGGGGGAGCAAGCTCAATAATCTTAAGAAACTGCATGGAAGGAAAATATATGGACCCTGAGCTAGCTGAACTTGAATTTTAGATCATTTTTAAAATATGAATGATGCTTTAGCTTTGTCATCAATGCATATTTTTGTTTAACCTCGGATAGGATATATATACAAACATAGTCTAACTTGCAACAGTTGATTGTGCTTTAAACCCATCCATCTCCAATTGGTCTAGTTGGTGACTGAATCACAATTCCTTGGACTGAATTATTTGAACAGCTTATCTCTGTCCTTGAAATGTGTTGATTTGTTGTATTTTCCTTTTACAAAATAGGTTTGTCTCCCACTGGATTTGAGTCAGTTTTTTTTAAAAAAAGTTATCTTTTAAATTTACTATTAGACGGGTATTCAGCTGATGCCACATTTTATTTCTGCCTCATTTGCTATTATAGTCTAGCTTTTACTTTAAAATATAAAACAAAACAAAATGTAATTTCTATGAAATATAAAGGGAAGTCAAAGTGGCTACAAAGTGGAAATTGCTTATGTATCACAGCTTCTGTAGCTTCACTTACATTTTTCACTTCTTAGAGGCTCAGTTTATTTGGCGAAAAAGAAGAAGAAAAAGAACAACTACACACACACACACACACACACACACACAGTGGTTCTGAGCCCATTGGACTGTCATGGGCTCAGTTTGCTGGGATATCTAGTTTCCACAACGAAGGAGCAAAATCCAATGACTCAGTAGTTAACGTGAGGGGTCTGGGCAATGAATGGCAGATTCATTGCCCAGCCTAATTAATGCCAACTGTAGCTTAAAGTCTTTCCCACTTCTACCTTATGATGCTATAAACATCCTCTGGCAATATTTTTATTCTTCCATGTGCCCATGATGTGAGCAGCTTTAAGCCTGGTAAGCTTTACTAGAGTTAAACTACTGTTTTCCCCTTGATAGCATCTGGCAGTTTACAGTGTGTACAATCTGCCAAACTTTGTAGTGGTATAGTCAGTGTGAGGGATGGGATGAGCTCTGTACTTATCAGTTACTTCAGGCTGGTGCTTATAAGCCTCTGCCCCTTGGTTCTGATCATCTCCTCTGGCAACTCAGTGCAATCTGTTGATTCATTATATGGGTAAATTGGGAGGAAGAGTTAAAATCTTTCTCTGGATTTGAAAGAACTGGCTCATAGTTTGTTTATCTGTGTGCAGTTTTAATTTAAACACTAAACCCATGTTCAAAGCAAACCCTCCAAATAACTGATCCGTGGGGTCTGTGCATTCCCACTTTATCAGGCATCACCACCCATCCACCCACCCACACCCACACACACAGCACTCATTATCTGATATGTGGGCTTGCAAAAATCCTTGGCTTGAAAGATATTAAATCATGCAGGTCTGGCTATCTTTCAAAACTATTTGCCAATCACAACAGTGTGATTGGTGGATGGTTTCCCCCAACTGGTGATGTTCAGAAAAGTGTCTCACAGCTAAGCCCAGAGGGTTTAATCAATAGGTCTGTTTAATACATTCTGGAAACCTAAAATAAGAATAAACGGCCAGAACTGCAGTTACAATGGCAAGACAGAGTTTAACAGTGGAACAGTTGATTTTATGCTGACATTTTTTCTGATGGCTGAAGAATGGAGTCTATAGTACTTTAGTTGAGATGTGGGGAAAATTTTTAGTGTATCATGCAGACAAATCCTGTCGCATTTAAATGTAACTTTAGCAAAAATGGCAAAAGACCCTCACACACCCCCTCCATGTTTTGTTTTGTTACTCACACACCCCCTCCATGTTATGTTTTGTTACTCTTTGCAGTGTTTAGTGAGAGAGGTTCAAAATCCTTCAACATGTAGCTTGAAGCACCCATGTGGAGAAATTGTTTAACCATTATTAAAATGTACCTGGGGTTTCTTTTTAAAAAGTTCAAAGCAGCTAAAAAATAACAATAAAATACTATAATAATATAGTATTGGACAACAAAGATTATGCTTCCTGAACACTTTTGGTTGTATCTTACAGATTTTTGACTGCTAATTATGAAAATAACCTGTAATTTAACCTATCACATACTGTTTTATAGAAATCTTCTGTTTTTACACAATGGTAATGTACATCCTTCAGTACCTGTTGGCTATGCTGTACACAGGAAAGAACATACAAAGACATTGAACTGCTGTTAAAGCATATCCATTACAAACTTCTTTCAGCATACAAAATCACATGCAATGTTCACTGAAGGTTCATTTTCTGCATTCACACTGTACTTCTTTCCTAAAATCTAGGTACAGTCAGTGATGAACATATTGAAAAGTTTTACCAAGACATTGCCACAATGGAAAAACTGTATCAGAACAATCCATCAGTGCTGGCTGACTGTTATTGGCCACAGCAGCGAGATTCATCAGACATTGAATATAAATGTAAACCAGCAGCAAAACACTTTTAGCTTTGTTGAACTCATGCAGCATGTCAGAAACATTATGTGATTAAATACATTAGAGTCATTAAAAGTTAATTTCATATTTCTCAAGATTCCCGTCTGATGCAAACATTTCTGAAATTATATTTGTATTCAATTTGAAGGGGTCTATCATAATCACTGAAAGATCTTCAGGAAGCAAAACTGGAAAAAATAATTAATATAATATAATATAATATAATATAATATAATATAATATAATATAATATAATATAATATAATATAATATAATATAATATAATATAATTATAATATTATAATATAATATAATATAATATAATATAGTAATATAATAATATAGTAATAATATAATATAATATAATATATAATATAATTAATATAATAATATAATATAATAAATATAATATAATATAATATAATATAATATAATATAATATATAATATAATATAATATAATATAATATAATATAATATAATATAATATAATATAATATAATATAATATAATATAATAGCATAATTCTAATCATATATCAAACAACTGAGTAATGAGTTAAAATAGCCCTCACAGTAGGGTAGATCCAAAATCAAGATTGGTGTCGCTCTGTCCACATAATATACAACATTTAATATATTTAGGATTTAGGCCTCAGTAGACTTTTTTGAGAAATCATCTCTCAGATTTGTCATCCCTCTCCTCTTCTTCCATACTGTCTGCTATTTTTCATTCCATTCTGTCAATTCCAGCCATAGTCCCCAAACTGGTCTTCCGGTTGAACCATCAGGAAGGAAGAGGGGAAGGAAAGAGCAGAATAGTCGGATGTAGGTATATTTAGCACCAGGAATGGGCTTTATTTGGCCCCTGTACTTTGGGAGTGGGCCTTATCTAATGAGGTAAGGTTAAACATGATCACATTGAGAAAAAAACCTGCTTCTCCTTTCCTGCTTAATGGGGGTCTCTTCCATGGTTCTCTCAACCTGAATGAAGCAACAATTAAAAAAAATATGCCAGTCATTCTGTCTTCATTTGTAATGTAGATCAATACTGAGATTTTTTTAAAAAAAACTATTGACAACCTCCTTGTTTCTTCTTCTTACATGGTTTGCATGTCCTGTATTGTTTTCCTTGAGGTAATCTCTTCACTCTGGCTTAAGGCCTTTCTCTGCCTTCCAAGTCACATTGCTATAACAGGAAGCCATAGTGGATGGTGGAATTCAGAATGAAGCCAAATATTTCTTCCTTTCTTCCTCATCTTTTTTTATTATTTTGCCCCTTTAAAAAAAAGAGGCATTACCCTCCATTGCATTTCCTGATTTATCTGTTCTCCTTCCTATTCTTGCAGGATGTATCCCGCCAGCGCCGTATGCAGCCCCAGAAGAAGAAGACAGTCTCCTTCAGCACCATGCCTAGCAATCGCAAGCTTAACAGCACAGCAGCCTGCATCTCTTTCATGCTGGAGGGCTGTGAGATGAAAAAAGTGCGTTCTAACTCCCGCATGTACAGCCGATTCTTTGTACTGGACCCAGACCTACGTTTCATGCACTGGGAACCATCCAAGAAGGACTCTGAGAAAGCCAAAATCGAAATCAAGTCAATCAGGGAAGTGCGAGTTGGGAAAAAAACTCCTGTGCTGCGTTCCAATGGCCTCTCGGACCAGTTCCCAGATGAATGTGCATTCTCCATAATTTATGGAGAGAACTATGAATCCCTTGACCTGGTGGCAAGCTCTGCTGATGTGGTGAATGCTTGGGTGATGGGGCTGCGATATTTGGCCTCATATGGGAAGCACACCCCGGATGAGGCTCCTGAGACTGGTTATCCAAATCCCCGCACCTCCTGGATCTCTTCTGTCTTTGACATTGCAGATCTAGAAAAAGAAGGTCAAATCCCAGTTTCTCGTGCTGTGCAGCTCATTCGTGCTCTCAACCCTGGCATGAAGGCCTCAACAATTGAGCTGAAGTTCAAAGAGCTCCAGAAAGCAGACAGTAAGCGACTTGGAGAGGAGGTGAACTGTCAAATCTTCATAAAGGCATATTGTGAGCTATGTACCAGGCCTGATGTATTTTTCCTTTTGGTTCAGTTTTCCAGCAATAAAGAATACATGGGTCTGAGGGATCTGATGAGTTTCTTAGAGGCAGAACAGGGTATGGAAGAAATAACCGAAGATATGTGCATGGAAATCATTGCCAAATATGAGCCATCCAAGGAGGGTCGGGGAAAGGGCTACTTGGCCATTGATGGCTTCACTCGCTACCTCCTTTCAGCTGATTGTGACATATTTGACCCACAGCACCGGAAGGTGTGCCAGGACATGAATCAGCCACTTTCCCATTACTTCATTAGCTCTGCACATGGAGCATGCTTGGCTGAGGACAGCTGCTTCTGGGGAGGCTCCACTTCAGACATTGGGGGTTATGTGGCAGCCCTTAAGGCTGGTTGCCGTAGCTTGGAACTTGTGGTTTGCGATGGTTCATCTGGTGAGCCTGTGGTTGGTGCAGGGAGCCGTTTGGCCTTCTCTAGAGTGGTGGTTGCTGTTGCTGAACATGCCTTTGAGTCCTCCAAGTTTCCACTTATCCTGTGTCTCTCAGTGCACTGCTGTGTTGCTCAGCAGAGGCTCATGGCTGAGTATCTGAGGAAGACTTTTGGGGATAAGCTGTACTTGACACCTCCAAACCCAAATGAAACCTACTTGCCATCTCCGGAAAGACTCAAGGGATACATCCTCATAAAAAGCCGGAAGCTTCTTCCAAACTGTCAGTCAAGTGAGGGAGATGTATCTGACGATGATGAGGCCTCAGAGCTAGGCCTCCCACTTTCTGAAGGGGACAGAGAGCATCCCCGCTCTCAGCGCATCTTGTGCCGTGAACTTTCAGATCTCGTCAGCCTGTGCCAGACTGTGTCTTTCCAAAGCTTTGAGACCTCTCGGCGGAGCCAGTGTTATTGGGAGGTGTGCTCTTTCAGTGAGGTGGAGGCTGGACGTTATGCCAATGAGGAGCCAGAGGACTTTGTGGCCTACAACAAGCGCTTCCTGTCACGAGTTTATCCCAGCCCCATGCGCATTGATGCCAGCAACATGAACCCTCAGGACTTCTGGAAATGTGGCTGCCAGATGGTGGCCATGAACTACCAGACACCTGGTCTCATGATAGATCTGAATGCCGGCTGGTTCCGTCAGAATGGGGGTTGTGGCTATGTGCTCCGCCCAGCAATTATGCGTGAGGAGATATCTTACTTCAGTGCAAACACCAAGGATACCTTACCTGGCATTTCAGCCCAGTTATTGCATCTCAAAGTCATTAGTGGTCAGAATCTGCCTAAACCCAAAGGATCTGGAGCCAAGGGAGATGTGGTAGAGCCATACGTCTGCGTTGAGATGCATGGCATTCCTGCTGACTGTGCAGAAAAGCGCACCAAAACAGTGCTGCAGAGCGGAGATAACCCTGTTTTTGAGGAGACCCTGGACTTCCAGGTTAATCTCCCGGAGCTAGCCATTCTCCGGTTCATGGTGCTTGATGACGATTATATTGGAGATGAGTTCATTGCTCAATATACCATCCCCTTTGAGTGTCTCCAGACAGGCTATCGTCACGTGCCTCTTCAATCTGTGTCCGGTGAGCCACTCCCCAATGCTACTTTGTTCGTGCATATGGCCATCACCAACCGGCGGGGAGGAGGCAAAGCACAGCGACGGGGGCTCTCAGGGCGTAAGGGACGGCACATGCGGGAGTACACATCCACTAAGGCCACGGGAATCAAGGCCATTGATGAAGTATTTCGCACAGCTACTCAGCCATTGCGGGAAGCAACAGACTTGCGGGAGAACATGCAGGTATCCAGTTAGTGGGATACAATAACTTAGGCTCCTGAGTTTGGTTGGCAAAATTTTGGAAAAGAGCAAAATATGGCCCCTGGAATTTGAAGTTTTCTGGAAAACCATCTAGTAATCTATTTTCTGTACCACGTTTGTATTCTGAAAGATTTCAAAATGGTAAAGATGAAACATATGAAAATGAAAAATAATTTTAAAAATGAATTTCCTTTAGGAAAATGACTTAAAGGCAAGACCTCTCTTTTCTCCTGGTCTGCACAAAGATGATGGAGACTGACATTTTTTGAGGTTTTGGGGAAATCTTTTGAATATAGATCTGATATTTATTTTTTTTTGCAAAAAGTACTCTGATTGCTTTAATGTAAAAAAAGAAAAAAATGAATAAAAATTTTAAAAAAACTTGCACAAACATTATATTGCATATAAAAAGCTATTTAGCCCATTTTAAGCACATTAAACTTTGATCATATAGAATATGTTGATCAGTCTTTCCAGCACATAAACTACATTCACCTTTTTAAACATATCTCTTCTTTATAATATTATATTAATGAACTTATTGACATAAAACCAAAAGGTATAATAGTGTGACAAACCCTTGTCATAAGAGTAAAGATTCTTTCATCCATTTTATTCTTCTAATAAAGTAAAGAGAACAGTGAACTTCCTTCTTAAACATTCTTTGAAGTGTCTGACAAATATGAAAGAAAATCTGTTGTTGAATTATTTTGTCTTAAAATCACAAGGAACATATTTAATATTCTTTAAAACCTTTAGGCATTGATTTGCTAATTTGGGATATTCTGATTGTTTATTCCAGAGTTCTTGCAAATAACTAATATTGACCTCAGTAATACCCTTTAATTGTTTTATTTTAAAATTCTGCAAATCATTCAAACACATTTTCCTACTGACATTATTTTGGGAGCTCTAGATATTGCTTAGACATAAATCATTTGGATTGAATTATGAAATCAAGAAATGTTTTTAATTGAATAATCAGTCCTTATGTAGCTGTAAACAATACAGATTTCTCTTGCAATAATACATATTGTTTAAAAATTGATTGTCAGTAAGCTGAGCTAGAGTATTCATATCCCTAAATACCCATGGCTTTGGGAAGCAACAATAAATGGTTTATTTACATACAATTTTAAAACGGGGGTGATTTCAGATTCTAAATTTGTCATGCAAATAAGGACTGACATTATGCTCGAGTCACTACAGCTTCCAAATGTGTCTTCTGCAGCCTCTAGTGCAGCACAGAAATACAACACACCTATTGCTAAATGTGGAAGGAAGCCCTGCTATGATATCAGAAGAGTCACATAATAACTTTCTAATCTAGCCCACTGTAGTTTTTTTTTTTAACATGGTCATTTATGTTCCATGGAGAAATTGGAGTCAAAATATATGCTCAGTCATAAAGTTGAAGGTCAGAAAAGTTAAGACCTCCCTCCCCATCATCACATGATAGCCATAAATTAAATAAAGTGTGTTTGTCCTTGTCATAGAAAAAATTCCGAATATCTTATCAATCTGCTTAAAATAACTTGCAGCTATTAGCAGATGAATACCTCTGAGTAAATACATAAATCTTGAGTAATAGTCATTTTTCTTTTTCCATAACTAGGTTTTAACTATTTGTTGATTTTTCATCTGAGATTAAAATATTGATATATTTTTATCCACAAAGAACCTTTTTTAGAATAGTTATTTCCAGATATTTAAAAGAATTGAAGCAACAAATGAAATCCCATTTTTTACAGAAATTTTAAAACCTATAGAGAAGTTTGAGACCTTTTCCAGCAAATTAAATAACTTGATAAATCACTAAACTGTTACATAATAACAATTTGATTATATATGTGTATGTGTGTGTGTATGTATATAAAATTATCAATGACATTAGTAATAAGTTCTTTGTGGTATAGAAATATGTTAAATAATAAAAATACAAGCAAACGTGTACGTGTATAAACCTGAACATACAGGAAAGTTCATATAAAAATATGTATATCAGATCTAAATTTAGCCATACTTGAAATCAGTGATCCTTCTCTTTTGATTAAAACTGAATATAAGTAACTCTTCTTTTCTAATTCTATTTGAATTCTCAGTAGTTTCCCTTTTGCCCCTGCTGGTATTTTTGACTCTACAAGTAGTTCTCAGTTAAGGACGGCAGTTGTGTCCAGAATTTCCATTGCTAAGCAGCATGATCATAAAATGCAATGTCATGCTACTGTAACACTTAGCAATGGCAATTCTGATATGGTTGCCATTGTTAAGTGAATCACTGCAGGTCATTAAGCGAGGATGTCATTGGTTGCCATTTGTGCCCTCCTGCCAGTTTCCCCATTAACTTTGCTTTTCAGAAGCTAGCAGAATAGGCCACCTAGCCAATGTCCGTATCCATGGGCCATTGCAAGGGCCAGATCTCTGAGGACAGATTGTGAGTACCACTCATTCAGCATTGTTGCAAGTTTGAACAGTTGCTGAATTAGTAGTTATTAACTGAGAATCGTCTGTATTTTCATTTTATAGACTGGGAGAAATGAAGTAAAAAGCCAAACAGTTTCAGTTCTGTTGATCTATCTGTGGTCTCAATTCATTGGACCGCCAGATTAGATGCCTGCCTCCCATCTCCACCCCTCACTGCTTTCGTGATAGGTGTGACTATGCTAAAAAAGAATTGTACAGAGTGACTCTGATATTCAGTATGCATCAGAAATTTCTCCCCCAAAAGAGGGGTAAGGTCATGACCTTCATATTTCTAAATCCTTGGGGATGGAGTCATTACAAGTTGCAGTAGAAAATAGTAAACAGAAATGAATGGGGCAGAGTGATGTTCTTCTGAGTTGGTTTTTTTCCCCTCATCCTCTTTTCCTAGAATGCCTTGGTCTCCTTCAAAGAACTGTGTGGCCTAACACCAGCTGCCAACATCAAACAATGCATCTTGAAGCTGGCCACATGGCTTCAGCCCAGCGAGAAGGACAATCCCCCAGCTGTCACCCTCAACCTGGGTGAAGAGTATCCTTCCATGGAGACCCAGGGGCCCGTTCCTGAACTCTTGAGAAAAGTACTTGCTGCCTATGACACTGTGAGTGGAACTGGTGATTGTGCTGATGTCGCCCTGGCCACTGCAGTGAATGCTGGCTTCTTCTTCTTAGTGAATTGCGCTCTATTCTGATAATCCGGCAAATTCACCTTTGTAATAGAAGTCATTTTATAGTAGACCCAGGCAAGCATGGAACACTGGTCTTTAGAACATTTATCTAGCACAAGAATGGAGGGTGAGACTGCTCTTTTTGAGCAACTCCAGACACTTGTCAACCATTCATTGGGAGTTTAAAATATCCACACCTCTCCAAATCAAGCCCAGAAAACAATCTCTTCCTGGATTAGAAAAAACAGCACATTCTTTGTCTCTTCCCATTCTTGAATTCCATTTGTTACTCACTAGTCTTTCTTTCTTATCCTGATCTCCCTCACATGGCTGTTGTAAATATAAAAAAGGGGGTGAGTAGAATGGGAAAATATGTATGATGGTTTGGAGAAATGGGTGCTAAGTTATGAATAAGACACTAAATTATTATGTAAAAATAAGTATAGTTTAAAGTGTATGTGAGAGAGGTCACATTCTTACATATATACAAGCTTCAAAAACTATGCCGTCCTCCTCCCATGTTTATTTTATATGACTCAAGGCAACATATATAATGCTCTCACCTTCTAATTTTCCTACAATAATTTTAATCTAATTAGTATGATTGGGCCAAGAGAAAGTGACTGGGCCAGAGCCACCCAGCCAGCTTTCATATGTAAGGGACTCCAGAACTCACAAACCTCTGGTTTCTTGTCCAGAATCTGAATCTTTAAAATCATAATTCCCATTTTTGGATCCTCAGACATTAGATACTTTCATATATCATATCACTCATAATAATATTTGTTTGAACCCAGAAATTGTGAACTACCATTTATGTCTTACTGTTATGAGAGAAATAAGTCAATGTGGCATGTTTAAGAAAATGTGATATAGTGTGCTACTGTATATGAATCCAGCCATTCTTGGAATACATTTTCCATCATTCTCAGCAATCTAGGCTGGAAATAGCTGGGGAGTTTTGTCTTGTGTTTGAAGTACTTAAAGAAAAATATGGAAGGTTTGCTTGTATTTCCATTGACATTTGACATGGCAAGCCCAAGTTTGGGCTTACTAACACTGTCCATAAAGAAGAGATTGATATAACAGAAAATTTCTTCAAATTAGCAAAATATAAAAAACCAACAATAACAATAATCCTCAATCCCAAAACAACAATACATAGACAATTAACAAAGAGACTAACTTGCGTGAATGGAGATAGTTCACGAAAGGAGATAGTTGGAGTGTGCTTATGGAAAAGCCATTTAATGGTTCAATTAAAGCCCACATTTATCTTCTCTTGGAGAATAAGGGCTCTAAGTAACAGAAGTGTTCCTCAATCTTGGCAACTTGGCAACTGAAGATATATGGACTTCAACTACCAAATTTCTCTGGTAGAATTCTGGAGAATTCTGGGAGTTGATGTCCTCAAATCTGCGAAACACTGGTTCAGAGGGATAGTGAAGCAGTTAAAAATATTATATTGTCTATCCTGTTATAAATGCTAAAATGCAAGGGGAAGGCTGATCCAAAGGCCTCTGAGAGGTTGGGACACTTTACCGGCTATTCTAAATCCATCCAACTATGACACTTTTCTCCCTCATTTAATTTCCAGATGATCCAAACCAGCCGGACGTTAATTGAATCAGCTGATGCTGTTCATGCCAAAATTATTCAGGTGCAACAAGCAGGTAAGAGACGGCATAATATTTAAGTAAATAGACCTCCTTGGTTCCATGTTTTCTAGTATTTTAAGACTCTCTGGTTTCCTTTGTTTTGAATAAGCAGTTCAAGCTTCCTTAATCAATTTGTATGTAGGGGACAAAGCAGGCCAGGATAAGGAAAAACAATTAATACAATTTAAATTGATGAGTAGAAGAATACCCACAATGTTTAATGAAAAGACACATTTTGCATTATAGTATGGTACAACCTAGTATTCCATTTACATTGGACAACAAGCATACTTTTTAAAAATACTGCAAAAAAAATACAGAGCCTATATAGATCTATAGTGAGGTGAGAGTACATAATTGGGCAATGTTAACTTTTATTCTGTTGTTAGCATTCTTGGAACAAGAAAATTTCAAGCCTGAATCAAAGATGTATCATTTGATTGGGAGATGGCAGCAGCCTCTGACACTGTCTGCTTTGTCTCTCCTTCATTCCTTGTGCTGCTCTTGTCTCCTCACCTGAATTTCTCCAGGGATGGGGTTTCATAAAGAATTGCACCGCTTGGAGGCAAAAGAAGGTCTGAAAGGACGGAAGTTACAAAAAGCTCTGGAAAGTTTTGCCTGGAACATCACTGTTCTCAAGGTAATTTGAAGCTGTAGTTTATTGTAATTCCACTATTAAGACTTTAATCGTGAGAAATAAAGTAGAGGAACAAATATTTCGAGGCATGTACAAAATACCCGAACTGAGGTACACTCCACAGCCTGTTGGCAAAATAGGAAGCATTTCTAATTAAAACATAATCCACCAGGATAAAAAAAATGGGTAACTTAAATATAACAGGGATATATTTGCAAACCATCCTCATTCTGGCTCATAATATTTTGCAAAATTCAATGCGTGGAATTCTGCCCTTCACGACAAGTCTGCACATTTCATTGTATGCCTCACAGCTGTTAGAAGAGTCATGGAAATTTTATGAATCAGTGACAACATGGTAAATGGTTGTGTACCAATTGTGCGCATGGATCTGCACTACTCTCAAGGTAGATGAAGCATTGCACTGGGGTGACATAGGCTTTTTCAGGTTAGAAATTATATATCCGTAAGAGTACTCTGGCAAGTCTTGGCATGATTAACAAGCTGCATAACCAAGCATGCTTTCCAGAACATGCCTACCAAAATCTAGAAAAGATTTAAGAACACATTCCTAGATGTTCCTCCCAAATCCTGCTCAGGATATCCCTCCTATCTATAATCTGCAGGAAATCACTGGGTGACATCATTCAACAGCATAGGAAGCAAGTGCAGTTTTACACCTTTTCCCCAGGCCAGACAAGTGATACTATTCTTACCCAGTGCCTAGAGCAGGGGTAGTCAACCTTGGCTCTTTTATGACTCGTGGACTTCAATTCCCAGAATTCCTGGGCCAGCTTAGCTGGCTCAGGAATTCTGGGAGTTGAAGTCCACGAGTCATAAAAGAGCCAAGGTTGACTACCCCTGGCCTTG